TCTCCAGCCTGCTCCCTGTACCTGCTTAGTTCTGATCTGGCTTTGGCCCACACCTGCTTCGACTCTGCCCTTACCTGATTATTCCTCAGGTAACACCTCGTCATAGCTCTGGTTAATAAAGACTGTTTAAAACGTCTTACTGTGTTTGGTGTCATCACGGGTCCTCTAGTTCAGTTCATGACAAAACCAGAGGCCCCCTCCTGTTTCTAATAGGTCTTTCCCATTTGATTTGTTCTGATAGCTTCCTTCACTCCTCTCTATAATCATCTTCTCTCTCCAGAACCTTGCCATCTTCAAAAGTGTGTCCCTTGTTGTCCTTCAGCTCAAGTGGACAGCAGAGTCTTGACCTGAACAGGTGGCTCTCCTGTATTGTGTGGACAACACAGGAGAGCCACCTCACACACGGTACCCTCCTCCATCTCACACAGGCAAAGGTTTCAGATTAGTGCTCTAAATGCACATACTCTCAGATTATCTCATGTTGACAAATTACGCTCACTCTCAACCATGGTAATTGCTGAAAGGAGATCCATGAAAATCACGCAGTGATTGTTTCCGTTAGTGTTGTTGCTATTTAGAAATTTTTTTTCAAGTTTTCAAAGGGAAAAACTGGCTCATCTTCCTGTCTGTGAAATTTGAACTGAGCTAACAGCTTCAACATTACATTTAAGATCTCCATCACTCATTTGGCGACATTCCCACTTTTCACAATCTGTAGACTTCAGATTCTGATTGGATCTGCTCTGCAGTCATTTCAGAAGTCTGCTCTCTCTGCGGTTGTCCTTGAAACTTGGCGAGATTGTCGATTGGCAGACTGTTGTGTACTTATACGAGATCCCAGCCCATTTGTATGAGTGTGTCATGAATATGAATGTGTACAACTGCAGCAGACTCACTAGAGGATTTAAACTTCTCACATGTGAAACTCGTGTTTTGGTTCCAGCCTGCTGAGAGAGGCATGTGAAGAGTTTTGAGCTCCACAGGACAAAGCAAAGGTCAGAAGGAGGAGGAGGAGAAAAGTAAGATTATAATCTTTTAAAACTAAAGTTAATCTTTGCAGTTTATAAACGAAACATTTATTATTGTAGTGAATTAAAATTTTTTCTACATTCGTCATCTAGAGGGATGCTACTAAATCTGTTGCTAATGGAGCTGTTTGGATACCCTAAGCCAACCAGGCATCATTTTCTTGGACCACCTTCAGATTTCCTCATTTCAGACATTCAGTCTTTCAATGAGCTCACAGGGTTTTACTTTTCCTTAATTGGGATTTTTCCTTTTTCTTGGCTTTGTTCTCATATTGATAATGGGAGAATTGGACTGCTGTGTATGTTTTTTTTTCCTGACACATTCACAAGCTTTTAATTAGATTGAAGTCTGGCATCTGTTGTGCTTGTGTGTAAACAATGTCTTATCCTCCCTGAAGCTCTGCCTCACAGTTAGAGCTCAGTGCTGTTCAGAAGTAGAAAAGGAAACCGGATGTTAGTCAACAGAAACACTTTCTCTTAATGCTTTCAAAACAAAACACTACAGCATTTTGGTGTTTGGGAATATTAATAATAAGGAGGAGGAGAAGGAAAAGAGGACATTGGATTTATAAAGTTGCAAAAGTTACTGAAAAGAAACACTTTCTCTAAATGCTTTCAAAATAAAATGCTATGGCATTTTTGTGTTGGCAAATGCAAAAATCACTTTAGGAGTCCTTTTTCTTTTTGTATTTAGCTAAAACATTAATAAAGTTTTATTAATGTGCCAATTTTAAGCACGCTGGTTGTGTGAAGAGAGTCACGTCCAGCTAGCTGCGCAGCAGCTGTCCACTTAGAATAGACTAATTTAGCCTCCTTAGGTTTAAAACATTTTTTTGTTGAATGCCATTTACAGTAGAAGGTATTAATCCACTGATGTTTAGGATTCTCTGACCAACATCTTCCTGTTACTTTTAAGCTCTGTCACAGATGTTTTGTGTTACACTCCGGGTTATCCAGCAGACTTTAACAAGACAGACTTTGTTAGGTGATTTCTACTATTGTTCTTATATTACCTCAAAGAAAGTCAGAGCACACACAGAGGGATTAGATTCATAATTTGGTAAATTGTAAACAACCTCTAAACAGACAATGAACTCTGCAAAGTGCGACACTTTGCAAAGGGTGAGAGAATCAAACACCAGACACGACGGCCGTTTCCTCTCACAATGAGTTGAAAACTGCAGTGAGTATTTATTGGCACAAACACACCCATCCACAAATTCCACAAACACCCTCCTTGGCCTCAGAAAACAAAATAGCGTGAAACTCCCCGTCCGACTAGTTTGGCTTCAACTACTGGAACAAAACACCTCGAGCAGAAAGGAGTTGCTGAACAGTCAGACGTATTTGGGTCAGTATTTTTCCCAAAAACAGCTAAACATATATGATGAGGGGAACTCTGCTTGATATTGAGCTTTTATCCAACAGACTTAACATTTTATACAATTTTTGTTTTAACGTAGCTTTTACGATGTTACCTCTTTCACTGCCATTGATGACTAAAGTCGTCAAATTTGTTTTTTAACAGGGCAGGCTTGGGAACGGGCTTGTGCACCTTGAGAGTAATCATCAAGGCTCTAAAGTTGATTTTCACCTGTGTGCGTCACGTCACGTGATCATGAAACAGAATGCACAAATTGGAGATCGTTTTGAGATGTGGGTATGCCTAAAGCGAGGCGCAAACCGGAAAAGCTTCGGCTGCTCACACTTCGACAGCGAATTGGGAAAGAACAGAATAAGCTAGAACACACTGATTCTTCCTGATGTAAGAAGTGAGTCTACTCTTTCTTTTGGTCATGCTTTCTGTCACTATCATTGTGCCCTTGGACAAGACACTTAACCCACCTTGCCTGCTGGTGGTGTTCGGAGGGACCGGTAGAGCCAGTTTACAGCAGACTTGCCTGTCAGTGCGCCCCGGGGCAGCTGTAGCTACAATGTAGCTCACCACCACCAGGGTGTGCACCTGGGGCGCACTGACAGAGGCAAGGAGCCACCAGTCCCTCCGACCACCACCACCAGAAACGGTGGGTTAAGAGTCTTGGCCATGGACACAATAGTAGAATTCTCTGTCTGGAGCTGGAATCGAACCTGCAACCTTCCGATTAGCCTCCGCTCAACCTCCTGAGCTGCTACTGTCCTAAACTACTTTGACAGTTGAACAAAATTTCCGTTTATGTTCAGTTCTTAAGCATCTTCAGCGATCGGTTTCAGAAATCTAGATTCCTCTAGTTTGGGCATCCCCTTGAAACGAGAAGGGTCTCTTTCCTTCAGTTGAATGACTTGATGTCAACGTAAACACACTAATAACTTTTCCTATGGTTGGTTTTTATCTGTTAACTAATAAAGAATCAAAAGGGAAATAGAAAAGAAAAACTGAAGGGTACATTTTCACTATGAGGTGAGGGATCAGAACATGTTTGAAAAAAACAAACAAAAGAAATAAAAACATTATGTGTGTATATATATATATATATATATATATATATATATATATATATATATATATATATATACATATATATATCCATGGTAGCATCTGTGTGGTTTAGCACCCAGTCTGTCAGTGTCCTCTCTCCTGCTGTGGAGAATCCCTGGGCGTGCTGCGCTGATTGAGGCTGAAATGAGAAAAGGGAAAAAGGGAACAGGCAAGATGGTCCTGGCTCCAGGTGAAATGCAGCATTTCTGTGTTAAATAGGCAATCACAATTGGCTGCCAAGTCCCACCCACTTTCTTTTAAGAAAAATGCGGAGTCAGCAGTTCAGCAGACTGAGGTCAACCCCATAGTGGATTTTAATATGGCATAATATTAAAATCCACTATAATCCATTAGAATATTCATTCTGTGCCTATTTCATGAATTTAAATGTTTTCTGCCAACCCCCCCAGTTACAGATGGGCATGTCTGGAGAGCTCGGCTGTGTCTTACCAGCTCATCAGCACTCAGGGGATGTAAGGAGCGGCGGGACAACTCGTCAGTGCCGGATGGTACTCAGTCTTGGGTAGTTTCTGGCCCCCTGATCTTTTCGCCTATCCGTTCCTGCCCTTTTGGCCATTAACTCGCTCTGTCATCCTGATCCTTCCAGGTTCCACTCATCATTCAAGAACTCACTCTCTGCAATACCACCAGAACCATCACCAACATTCCAGCCCCGCCGTTTGTCCCTGACCGCCTGCTCTCAGCCACTCACCTGCCCACCTGCAGCTCCTCGGTCTCCCTGCTCAGCCAGACCTGGCACACCCTCCCAAAAGAACCCGGATCATCCAGGATTTTGCCTTCCTCATCATCTTCCCACATTTGTCCCAGACTCTGACCTCTCTTCCTCTCCCAGAACCAAACGGATCCATTCCCCGTCCCTCGGTAGCAGCTTCTTACTTCACCAAACAAATAAACCATTTTTTCACTTACCTTCCGACTCCTGGTGGTGATTCTTCATGTCGTGGGTTTAAGAAATAGCCTTTCAACATGACACTTAATGCTGAGTGCCTAACGGGGATGCATTAGGTCACATTTTAGAGTCTTTGGTATGACCCGACCATGGATCTCCAAGTCTCAAGGTGGACACATGCCACTTGGCCATTGAGCTGAAACATCATCACTGAAAGAACTGCTAAAGCTTGCTGGGTTTTGACTCTCAAGGTTTGGTACTTTTTTTTTACTGCAAGCTTTGATATGAATACTACATGATTCTAATGGGTAACTTTAATTAAGCTCATCTACCCATCGCCAATGCACCGTGCGTGCCGAACAAGTTATGAGGCCTTAAGCTGAAAGCCCCAGTCCCAGCCTTCATCCACATCATCCAGGGAGAATCTGAGTATTCCCAACAAGGAGGATGTGCCCCCATTGCAGTCCACGTGTGTGTATGTGTTTGTGTTTGTGTGTGTGTGTGGCGTGTGTGTGCGTGTGTGTGTGTGTGTGATATTTCACCACATCACACATCCTGCCTGCAGAGATGCATGCAGAGCTTGCCATACTGAGAATAAATAGCCTTTTTATTAACACAGAGTCAAAAACACACAGAATGACAGAGACAAAGAGACCAACAACCTAAGCTACAACAAGAAGTGCATGTGAACACATCTACAACTCCCAGTCTCTTTCAGCTGTTCAGGTAAAGGACATTTTTTCTTTTTATAAAATGTACAGGTTTTTCACCACAAACGGGTCTAATGTTTATAGTCTTAAAGCAGCAAAACTTTGCAACATCGCAAAACTTGCAGTAAATATACAACCAAGTCAACCACTAAAATGTGAACTAATCACACATGCCCACAGGGTAACACATTAGACTCACAACAAAGAGTCTAAAATGTGTAACAATGCCTTTGCCCTTGTTGGTGTGTGTTTCATAACTTTTAGTTTGTAGTCTTTGTAGAACAGTCTTTTAAAGGAGGTTTTACTCTGTGTTCCGCCTGGTTCAGATAATTATTATTATTTTTAGAATCTGTTTGTTTGGCTTTAAAATGTTATTTCAGTTTTGTATCAAATGTTGCATTTCTATTGCTATTTCATTAGTTTTACGTTATAAAAGAAAATTCCAACTTTATAATGTTATTTACATATTAATGATTTTATTATAGAGACACTAAAATGTTTTGAGTCTTTATTGGACTGGGGGGGCAGTTTCACAGCAGGTAAGCATTCTAGTAAAACTTGGCCTGGTTTTGGAGGCTAGATTTTGGAGGCTAGATTGATTATTTTTAACAGGTTTTTTTAGTTGGATTATACAGCTTAATGTGCAGGATTATTAGAATTTTAGAAAACAAGTAAAGCAATTTCTAGTTTGAAAAGGAAAAATATTATCAGTTAATTACTTTTCTTAATATGGAATGGCATTTGGAAATAAAAATTGTCTTTAAAAAAAGCTGTGACCTAGTTTGCAAATGAAGAAAAACCTAGGAAGCATAATAGGAAACAAAGATTTATCTGAAAATGAGACAAAGACCAGATAAAAAAGTTTTAAAATTGAGAAATTATGTTTTTTTAAATCTCATAATTAGATACACTTTAATTAGCTGAATAGTCTTTTTTTTCAGAATTATAACTTTGTGATAGCCAGTGCCAATTTGAGACAGAATCATGTTTTTAAAGCAGAGCAGTCAGAGAATCCACTGAATAGATCAACTGATTTTTGGCTTCATCCCAGAGTACAAACATCTTAACCTAATTCCCTAAATCCTTCAATGTGTACTCTGATTTATGTACAGATTGTACTACATGTAGAACTAAATGTACTAAACAGTTTTACCTTAAAATTGTAAAACTACTTTGTTGTTTTTGTCAGAGAGATCTAATCATGAACTGCTGTCAAATAAATAACCTAGTAATAAAGTGTTTATCAGGTGTAATTTACAACACTTTATTCTCTGATTCCAGATTTTCTACAAATCGGCAGGAGATTGTGTGAAGGTAGCCAGTCAGATGTGTGTGTGTGTATCTCATACTTGGGCGGGGCAAAAGACACTCAGAAAAGTCTGTGGTGTCTCCCTTAAATTAAACAAAGGTGGCCATGAGCAGTGTTTGACTCTGACTTTGGTACTTCATCTAGCCTGCTGTGTCTGGCCTTGCGTGGGGCAGCTCAAACCTCGGCAGCGCTGCCGGTGTATGTGTGTGCTCCTCACAGCACATCTCAGTGAGAGACAGAGACAGCTTCAGTCAGAGCAGGTGTATGCATTCAGGAAGCCACTGGTGGCTAATTCTACCTGCCAATCAAAGGCTCCCCTTAATTGTAGGCATGCATTTGAGCCAGTCAATCAGCTGGAAGTGGATGTATTGGGACAGTTCAGCCTGAAGCAGACCACCTTGGGAAGAGGACTGAGCATGGAAAAGAACCAGGCTACCCAAACACTGTACCATACCTGGGCCCTGATGTGAAAGCGGCTTTACACACTGGACCAGTCTACCTTTGGGCGTCAGATAAGCTCCATCTTTGCAATAATTTAAGCATTAACTAATGACTCATTTTTATTCATTAGCCTTCAGCACAATACTTGATGAAGTTAAAGTCCCATTAGTTATCATAATAAGCCGGTTAAATTACATCTCTGCATTTGACCCATCCCTGTGGGGAGAGGTAAGCTGCAGCAGTGGCTGTGCTCGGGAAATATTTGGTGGTTTGATGCCCCAAACTTACCCCTTAAAGTCGAGTGTCATGCAGGGAGGCATTGGGTCACATTTTTAAAGTCTTTGGTATGACCAGACTGGATTTGAACCACGATGTCCCAGTCAGAGGGTGGACACTCAACCACTAGGCCACTGAGAAGGTGAGAGCAATATCCCATGAATGTATTGTTTTTATGTCTACAACTTAATGCTGGTTTAACTTTATTTTTCTTTTACTGTTTTTTTCATCCTCCTTGATCTTAGTGAAGTCTTTGACACTATTTCTCATTCAACCCTTCTAAACAAATTCCAGTTTGTTCAATCAAAGTCCTTTTCTTCCCATCCCTTTCCTGACTCTGCTGGTGTTCCTCAGGACTCTGTAGTGGGACCCCTTTTATTAATCATCCACACGCTACCGCTTGGCCATATCTTTTGCAAACACAAGATCAACTTCCACTGCTACGCAGATGACACCCAGGACTATATCTCCTCTGAACCTAATGCAATCTTTCCTGTAGTCTCCCTTGCAAGCTGCCCCTCTTTGTAGGGAAACCCTTCACTCTAAACAAATCTTCCAGCTTATATATTAACATCGATGATTCCTGTATCCTTCCATCCCCCCATGTAGTGTCTGGGTGTCATCCTTGACAGCACTCTGCCCTTCCAAGCCCACATCAACACCACCATTTGCTCTGCCTGTCATCACTTAAGCAACATCAATCGACTCTGCCCCTCCCACTCCCCATGCTACAGCCATCTTTGCACACACCCTTGTCACCTCTGGGACTGATTATTGCTATTTTCTCCCCTTTGGTGTCCCCCTCAAATCCCTTTATTGACTTCAACTCCTCCAAAATGCTGCTGCAGACCATATTTTGAGCATGGCTGGTCTCATCGTTGTTTTATCTGTAAAGTTTCATCACGTTTCTTGTAAGGTCACCTTCTTGTAAGGCCACCTATAAATTAAATGTATTTTTACTATTATTAGTATTTTATTGTGACTTAAATGTTTATGTCATTCCCAGCATTTTGGACAACCTTGGCAGTTGTGGATAGTGCTTTATAAATAAAGTTAATTGATTGAACAAAAAATTAATTCTGAATCACACAAACCTTTAAAACATTTTACAAATTAGATTACAAGTAAGACGTTAAATGTTTCTCAACATATCAAGCTGCTGACCTCATTTAAAGCTGGTTGACAGAACAGTTTATCAACACAAAGTTTCTGAAAAACACTACCGGCCCACCTGTGATCCGATGGTTAGTTGAGGACATCCCTCTTCAGTCCTCTCATTTCAGTTTGTTTTAATCTCTGATTATTTACACCTACTTCTTTCCAGCTTCAGTCAGTTATGTGAAATCCTTTGAAACAGCCTCTATGAAGTTGGGAGCTGACATCAGAATGGTGAAAGTGCAAATGATTGAGAAGAGCGAGAAGGCCACTAAACACAGACGGTCCACCACGGCTGCCGCAAATTTCCACTCACTGCAGATGGCCTCAGCTTCATCCTGGTCCCGGAACCTCTGGGCTATGTATGACACCTCCTCCAAAATACTCTGGATCTCCGGTGGAGGGATGATCACTCCCATTCCCATATCTCCAACACCACTAGTAAGTCCTCCAGGTGGTTCAGTGTCATCGCTGAGTGAGCCATGGGCACGCCCACCCAGTGCGACCCCAGAGTCGCTAGAGGGGGGGCAGTGTGGGCTGTCAATAGGGTGATAGCTGCCAAAGTAGAGATTCATGGAACCATTGGAGTTGCCTGTTGGGCATGACGTCTGTGACAGAGGCACAGTGAGGCTTGGCATGGTGCCCATCTCTATGGAGCTGGTCCTGGAGTGATGCTGGAAGGGGTGACGGTGCTTGTGTCTAGGCCTTTTACGCTCATCACTTGGTTGTTTCATACGGAGAAACCAGGCACACCAGTTCAATAGAACCACACGAACCTGGAATCCGAAAAAAAAATCATCACAACTTGTACTAAATGTTGTGCTGATTATTAAAGATATTTGGTGTAGAATTTTCATCAATATCCAACTAACTCTTCATTTACTGATACAAACCAATACCACTGTATCGTGTAGACTTTAAAAAAGAAAAACAAAATAATTTTAGATAAATAACTAACATCACATCTCCTGCATACTCAAAGGTCAACTTTACTGACATTAGGAATGAATGCCTTGTAAGTCGTTCTCTGGGGAAAAAAAATCTCAGGTGCTCCTGTTTGAGGATTCAGCCGGAGAAGAAAGTGGCACAAGACGGCATGATTTGGGGTCTGATATTAGGACATCTTGCCTTTGTCTTTGTCTAACAGCAACGTGACTCTACCACTCACTCCGCTTTGCATCATTGATCTCCACAAATAACTCAAGTGATGGAGTTCTGCAATCTGAGGGAAGTTGCTAATGCTAACAGTTAGCTTCTGCTAGTGGAAAGTTCTCTGCTGTTTGCTGGACGCTAACACAACAACAGCCATCCTCGTCGTGAGCCAAGATGGGTAAGTCCATGAATTTTAAGGGACAGTGTGACGTAGATCTGTCAGGTTTTTTTAACCGAGCGTTTTTTTTTTTCTATTTTCAATCAGAAGCTAATGCAGGAAATAGGAGTAGAATACTATTGTCACATTTTGCCTGCATGTTAAACTCAGAGTGACTGATCATTTTCAAAAATAATACGTAAAAATGATTTCTCATTGAACCTGCTCTTTAAACGTATCCGTACAAACTATGTCAACAATTAAAATGTTAGTTAGGCCAGTGGTGCCAAACAAACAAATATCTCACTAACCAAACCATGAATTAGTCATATTTTGACATTTTGAGCGAGAGGAGAAGTAGCTGACAAGTTTGACTTATAATATGTACATGGTGTAAATTATGTGTCATTAAAAGTGTAAAAACTGATACCGATAAAATATTTTAATACCAGTATTGGCCAATATTATTGGTAGGCCAAAAATATCGGCCAGTATTAGTGATTATCGTAGTATATTTGCAGCTGACACTCACCCACTTGGGCATCTTACCCCCGTGAGGGTCATGATGGTGAAACTGCAGGACAATGACGGTCACCACCACTGACATTCCCACAATCATCATGGTGCTTGCAAAGTACTGAGCTGTTTGGGACACAAAACAATCCTGTTGTTACCCTCTGATCACGCTGACATGTATTTATCATGAGTTAAACACTTACTAGACCACAATCTCAAGCAGAAAAAATAAATGTACCATGTGTGAAACAAGCTTTATTGCAACACATTCTCACACCTGAAGCATCGAAAAAGGTTGATGGGTGACTAAGCGTTTTTGTCCAATGCGTTGGGAGGCGACAAGCTGTGCCAGAGAATAGGTCACCATCATCATTTTTCAACGCATCAGGTGTGAGAATGTGTTGTTTTATTGCTAAAATTAAACCCGTTAGGACAAAGATTAAAGGCCTAACATGTCTTTCATGTGTTATAAACTAAGTTAATCTTTTACTGGGTAAATAAGGAGTCACAGATATTTCAACTAAATATCAAGGAAAGACCTCACGTGATCTGGTATCATCAGGACTTACATTCTGACCCTGAGCATATCAACATATCATTACAGACACATATGTAGGATGTGAGAGACTCTTTCTTAACTATTTGGATTTTTTTCTTAATTTCAACACAAAGCTGCTGAAATTGTTTGCTGAAAACCTCAGTCTAAAAGCAATAGGTGACAATGTATTTTAATTCTCAGACTCTTCCTTCATTTATGACTTCATCCATCTACTCTTTTGTCTTACCAATGGAAAATCAAACATTTCACAGCCCATTTAGGGTAGTGACAGCTTAGGTTACAGTCACCCATTCATCTCAATCTGTGTCTTAAAACAAAAGCTTGGACCCCAACTGTTTATTTCACAAAGTCTATGAAGAACAGACATTATTATTTAGTCTACTGACTGTAAATTTCCTCTCTGGATTTTAGTATTCATCTGTTTGCAGCTTGTCTATTTGCAGTTAAAACGCATGCATAAAAGATCTGTAGACATCCGTAGACAGAAGTAGCTCAGGAGATAGAGCAGGTTGTCCAGCAATTGGAGGGTTGCAGAATCGATCCTGGCTCCCAGCAGATAATGCTGCTGTTGTGTCCTTGGGCAAGACACTTAACCCCCCATGCCTGCTGGTGGTGGCTGGATAAACCGATGGCGCCAGTGCTTGGCAGCCTCGCCTCTGTCAGAGCACCCCAGGGCAGCTGTAGCTAAAATGTAGCTCATCACCACCAGGGTGTCAATAGGTGTGTGTGAGAGAACGACTGGTTGTGTTGTAAAGCATCTTGGGGGTTCTAGGACTCTACAAGTTGCTATATCAAATACAGGCCATTTACCAATATAAAATTATTCAAAAGTTTGTTTTAATTCAAATCTAATCATTAAGTACCTAAAAGATGTGCATCAGAGTCAAACATGCTTAAAAATATTGGAGGCATACAGACGCAGAAATAAAACCCACCAATAAGAGGCACGGAGTCTGATGTGGCCGGCATGATCTCTGCCACCAGAAGCATGAAGACGGTTAGCGACAGCAACACAGTGATGCCTTCAGACAGAAACAGAGAGAGAGAGACTCAGCACGGTGTGATCAGGGCCAGCCATGCATGACATCATCCCTGTAATCACTTATGAATGTAATCAGAGCTCATGGTTACAACCATTCGTCAGCTGTTAGCTCAGTATGTTCAGGAAATTTCTGAAACACTAACTTTGTCACATGTGACTGCTCATATGGAGGTGGCTGTTCATCATGACTGCACCGACTGGTCACACAGGTCTCTTACTTCACAATTGAAGCCATCTATCGTTAAGAGTGTGATTCAACGTTGTGTTTTCATTCACAGTAGTCATGCATGAACATGCAATTAACTGTAAATATTTTTGGATGTAGGCAAAAAGAAATCACATTAAGTTCTATATGTTTGAACGATTTCATGTTGCTCCAATTCAATCTTAGATATTAAATATGACCTTTATCAAAAATATTCTGGGTTTTCAGTTTTGTAATGAACTCTTGTTAATCAAGATGAGGCTTTTTCTGCAAAAGCCGGGTGTACACTGTGCGACTTTTTCACTTTTTTGAGCCGATTTTCCACTCGTGCGAGAATCCACGAGATCGGGGTGAGTTTTGTGCCGAGCGTCGTGTAGTGTACAGGGGGTTACGAGAGGCGATTAACACCACGTGACCAGCTACCGATCAGCAATCGTGAGCTCGCACGGACTTCTGGTGTGTTTAATATTTCGCTCGTCCCTCGTGAGGGTATCGCACTGTTGAAGCGGCGCTGCGAGCTGCTCCGACCCAAAAAGTATCAGAACCGCTCACGGCGCATGCACAATCCTGCATCAACACCGCTCGCCCGCCATTTCCCTAATAACACACGTTGTTCGTTTTTGTTTCTACACGTTTTTTTACTCACAAAGATTGTCAAGAAAGCGTGTTTGTCGTGTTCATGTCAAATTAAACTGATCACAAAACACAGATTTACTTTCTTTATTTCGTGTTCCTCATCCAACCCCCATTAATCCCTGTGTGTCCACCTGCAGCACTCCCGAAGGACAACAGGCAAAACAAGACAAAAAGTCTGACGTGTTGTGTAAAAACTGCTATTTTTAGCATATTTTTAGGGCCGACGTGTTGCTACCAGACGTACAGTGTGAGCAGTCAGGTCACAACCGAGAACTGGGTCGTACAGTGTGAGCGCATGACTCGTGAGATCTGCCCTGCGAGGAAGTCGTACAGTTTGAGCTGAAGCTGAACGCTACCAGTGAAAAAGTCGCACAGTGTACGCCCGGCTTTAGACAGTAGAGCAAATGTTGTCTAGATTGCTTTAATTCCAGAAATAAACATGAAGCTTCTTCAGTTTTTTTTATACTAATCATCTGACATACTAACTGATGCAAACATTCAGTTGCTAGAAAATGTATGTGAACCCTTTGGAGTTAAATGGATTTCTGCACAAATTGGTCATAAAATGATATCTGATCTTCATTTCAGTGAAAACAATAGACAATCACAGTCAGCTTAAACTAACCCCTCACACACAGTTATATGTTTCCATGTTTTTATTGAACACACCATGTAAACATTCATTTACTTTTTCTTACAACTGCAAGTCTTTACCCTGCTGTGCAAAAGTCTAGATTCATTTTGTTTTTGATTTTTACATATTTCAAATGTTTAAGATCAGCAAACAGATTTACAATCTGAATGATTATAAAATGTAGTTTTCAAAATGATGATTTCATTTAAAGAAAATGTTATCCAGTTACTGGTTATTACACTCTAAAAAACTGCAAGCAGTCATTTGTGATAGCGTGTCCTGACTGAATGTCACACATCATTGTGGGGATTCTGTTCCACCCTTTTTTACAGAATTATTCAAGTGATTTCTAAATTCTTCAGGCTGGAGTATAACCAGCCCTGTGTGTGACTGGTGGACTTGGATTCAACTTTCCAGATAATACAGTTAATGCATGATTTAACAAGAGCCTGGCTGGTTTGGATAACTTCTCTTCTCTTTATTCATTAAATAATAATTTAAATATTGCATTTTGCATTTACCCAGGTTATATTTATTGAATTTTGTTTTCTGATTTGAAAATCTTTATGTCCCAAAAAAGATCTGACGGGGCAGTGCAGTACTACATGTGTGTCCTGTAGCTATCCTCACCCAGAGAGATCTTCTCTCCAGAGTCCGCAGGTAGAAGGAAGACCAGCAGGGCCAATCCGGAGATCAGCACACAGGGAATGAGCAGATTTAGACCATAATATAAAGTCCTGCGGCGCATAGTGACTGTGAAGGTTACATCAGGATAGGGCTCTTTACAGCACTCGTAATACAGCTCATTACGTTTGGCTGGTACACCTGTGCAAGAGAAACACACACACACACACACACACACACACACACACACACACACACACACACACACACACACACACACACACACACACACACACACACACACACACACACACACACACACACAGTCTTCGTTTAGAGGTTATCAGAGAGTTGTTGGCGTGAATCTAAACTCTAAACCGAAATATGTTATGTTGCCGTTCCGTGTCCCAGTGGTACGTTTTATAAATGAAACCCTTACTTTTCAGCTGATGAGTGAAAGTGAAGGGTCTATATATTTTATGATCAATATGAGAAACACCTCACTCAATTCACTGAGCTGAATCTTATTTCCTCAACTCTGAAAACTGTCACTTGACCAAATCTAAGACTGTTCAGGCTTGGAAATCTACCCTGTCCCTATTGCGACTTTGTAGAGTGTCAAGCCCTCCTAGTGTGAGCCATCTGTTCCCTGTCTGACACCCATGTACAGCTGATCGATGCCCCGGGGGGCCTTGGCACTGGAGTGGTCCCAGCCAGGAACATTTCAAAACGATGTTCAATCATCAAATGATCTCAATGTTTTAGACAAAGGTTTCCTTACTATTAAAACAATTAATGAAACTGGTGAAGTTAATAGGAAATAAACTATATTATTTTTGTTTAGAAACATTTTATTGCATCATCAGTTTCTTCACAAGCCTGTTATTTAGTGTTTTTGCCAAACCCAACACCTAAATTACCTTTCATCCATGCTCTGAAACTACCTGTTGGACAGATATGCTACAATATTTCAGCTCAGCTATGAAGTGTAAACAGGAATAATGAAAAATATTGATTTAATGAAAACAGTAATTTTTCTCCCTAAGTTTTGGTGGACGACGGGATACAGAAGTAAGTTTCAATATCTGTGAAATAAAATTATTTTTATCACATAACTTAGATCAAAATTCTCTAACAGGTTGTATTTTAGGTACAGAATATCTTTCATCTGACACACATATTGTCTCTTACCAACAAGATCCCACTCTCCATTTGATATGTAGGTGGATGTGTCCACATCGAGCATCTGGAGGTCCAAAAGCCAGCCATTGTGAGTCCACGAGCCAAACTTCAGGTCACATTTCTGCACGTCGAAAGGGAACCAGCGAACGTCTATGTAACAGGTGCTCTTCAGGATGCCCGGGGGGATGTACTGACAGTAGCCTGATGCGTTCACCAGGACGTTGGTGTGAAACGTAGCATCAAAGCGCTCATCCGCACTATGAAACAGAGAAATGATTTGCTTTATTATCCTTTTATCAGCGTTTAAAGGGAGACTATGCAGTTTTGGCTTGTTTTTAGCACTCCCTAATGTCTGTTTAGGAGAACCAAAAGCAAAACCTATCTCCTTGTTGCGCGTTCTTCTTCTTAACACCTTAATCTAACAGCTGAAATGTCTCCCCAGCCTTCATTAGTGTCTACAGGAGTGGTTCATCACTAAATTAAACAAATCAGCTGTGTTCATGTTCTAAAACATGCAGGAATTGTGCTGGAAGCAGAACCCAGTCAATTTATTTCTAGGTCCAACAGACCGCACCAGCACCTAAGAAGTTGCAAATCCTAAGAAGTTTATCATAATGTTGTTTTGTGCTGTCTGGTTTGTAATTCTCTATTACATTTCTGTAACGTGATGGAAATGGTTACTTTTACTGAATGATCAATAAGATGTGATATTCCATATAAACATGAATGATCAATCTTATTGGTCTTTGATTCTTTAATTTAATATGAACTTAGGTTCTTTGGACTACCAGAGACCACTATCACATACTTCATAATAATTCAGACAAATTAAAGAATATAGTTTATAAAAATGAATGTTATACTATATTTCTAAACTAATGATGACACAGAACTAATCATGATGAATGATGGTTGAGACAAGATAACTGAGACAATGAATGAAAAGATGGAATGTATACTTAGATGTTATGTATAGCAAAACCTAAGTGTCTTCGAAACTTGTGATGTCTGGGTTGTAACATTAGTCTGACTGTATGGTTTAACAAGCTATCAATTATGGGGCGACGGTGGCACAGGAGCTAAGTGCTCGCCCTGTAATCGGAAGGTTGCTGGTTCGAGTCCCGCTCAGTCTGTCGCTGTCGTCGTGTCCTTGGGCAAGACACTTAACCCACGTTGCCTGCTGGTGGTGGTCGGAGGGACCGGTGGCGCCAGTGCTCGGCAGCCTCGCCTCTGTCAGTGCGCCCCAGGGCAGCTGTGGCTACATTGTAGCTCATCCCCACCAGTGTGTGAATGTGTGTGTGAATGGGTGAATGACTGATGGTGTTGTAAAGCACCTTGGGGGGTTCTAGGACTCTAGAAGGCGCTATATCAAATACAGGCCATTTACCATTTACCATTTAAAAACGTCAGTGTTGCACTGATTTTTCACCAAGATCTTGTATTGATGATGGTGGGATCTGACAGCTGCACAAAATCTTCTCCAGCACATCCCAAATAATTTTAGTTGGGTTGAGGTCTGGAATCTGTGGTGGCCAATCCATGTGTGAAAATGGTGTCTCATGCTCCCTGAACCACGTTTTCACTATTTGAGCCTGATCCAACATGGCATTGTCATCTTGAAATACACCCATGCTGTCAGGGAAGATGGAATAACCTGGTCATTCAGTATAATCAGGTAGTCAGCTGACCTCATTCCTGGAGCACATCCTGTTGTTGAATTTAGACCTGATCATCTGCAGCAAGCCCAGATCATAGCACTGCCAACCACAGCCCCCCAGTAGGCACTAGGCATGACATTAGATGTTCTTGCTAAATCTTGGTGTCACAGTTAGTTCAGACCTGAGCTTCACTGGTTACTTTAAGGCTATAACTAGATCAGTGTTTTATAAGCTTCATCAAATAGCAAGACTCAGAGGTCTCATGTCCAGACAAGACCTATAGAAGCTCATTCGTGTATTCTTCTCCTATCCGTGATCTCATTCTTTTGGTCACTACCCAAAGCTACCCAAACCATATGTGAGGGTTGGAATGTAGATCGACCAGTAAATCGAGAGTTTTGCCTGCCTGCTCAGCTCTCTCTTCACCATGTCAGATCAGAACGACCACATCACTGCAGATGCAGCATCAAGAAGAAGAAGAAGAAGAAGAAGAAGAAGAAATATTTTCTATAGCGCCTCACAAGATAAGTATCACGAGGCACTTCACAAAAGCAAAAATGTAAAATATAAAAAAGAATTTGGAAAATGACTCCTCCTTGAACCGTCACCTTATCGTGGTGGAGAAGTTTGAGTGCCCTAATGTTATTTTCTAAATTTTTTTATTTTTTATTTTTTATTTTTAAAAAAAAAAAAATATATATATATATATATATATATATATAAATAAAAAAAAAATATATATATATATATATATATATATAAATATATATATATATATATATATATATATATATATATAAAAGAATTTAGAAAATTACTCCTCCTTGAACCGTCACCTTATTGTGGTGGAGGAGTTTGAGTGCCCTAATGATCCTAGGAGCTATGTTGACTGGGGCACTTTGTGCCCCTGGTAGGGTCTCCCATGACAAATGGGTCTTAGGTGAAGGGTGAGACAAAGAACGGTTCAGAAGATCTTTCATGGATGTAAAAACAAAGAGTCGGAGTACCCGGCCTGGAGGGTTACCGAGGTCCCACCCAGGAGCCAGGCCTGGGGTTGGGGCCCGTGAGCGAGTGCCTGGTGGCCGGGCTTTCGCCCATGGGGCCCCGCCGAGCCCAGCCCGAACGCAGGAGGAACATGAAGGGTCCGGTGCAGTGTGGATTGGGTGGCAGACCGAGGCGTGAGCCTTGGCGGTCTGATCCCTGAACAAGGGAACTGGTTATTGGGACATGGAACGTCACCTCGCTGGCGGGGAAGGAGCTGGAGCTTGTGGCAGAGGTTGAGCGGTATTGGCTAGATATAGTCGGACTCACCTCGACACATAGCATTGGCTCTGGAACCCGAGTCCTTGAGAGGGGTTGGACACTCTCCTTTGCTGGAGTTGCTCCGGTGAGAGGCGGAGGGCTGGGATTGGCTTTTTGTTAGCCCCAAGACTCTCTGCCTGTGTGTTGGAGTTTACCCCAGGGGACGAGAGGGTAGCTTCCCTTCACCTTCGGGTCGGGGAATGGGTCCTGACTGTTGTTTGTGCTTATGCGCCAAATATCAGTTCAGAGTACCCAACCTTTTTGGAGTCCGTGGGACGAGTGCTAGATAGTACTCCATCAGGGGACTCCATTGTCCTGCTGGGGGACTTCAATGCTCACGTGGGCAATGACAGCATGACCTGGAGGGGTGTGATTGGGAGGAACGGCCCGCCTGATCTGAACTCGAGTGGTGTTTCGATATTGGACTTCTGTGCAAGCCGCAGTTTGGCCATAACGAACACCATGTTCGAACATAAGGATGCCCATCGGTACACTTGGTACCAGGGCAGCCTAGGTCGTAGGTCGATGATAGACTTTGTAGTCGTATCATCTGACCTGTGGCCGTATGTTTTGGACACTCGAGTGAAGAGAAGAGCGGAGCTGTCAACTGAACACCACCTGGTGGTGAGTTGGATCAGATGGCAGGGAAAGATGCCGCGTAGACCTGGCAGACCCAAACGCATAGTGAGGGTCTGCTGGGAACGCTTGGCAGAAGAATCTGTCAAGACGGTCTTCAACTCCCACCTCCGGCAGAGCAGTTGGAGACATCGACTCTGAGTGGGCCTTGTTCCACTCTGCGATTGTTGAGGCGGCTGTTGCTAGCTGTGGTCGCAAGGTGGCCGGTGCCAGTCGTGGTGGGAACCCCCGTACCCGCTGGTGGATACCAGGGGTTCGGGGAGCCATCAGGCTGAAGAAGGAGGCCTACAAGGCGTGGCTGGTCTGTAGGTGTCCGGAGGCAGCAGACGGGTACCGGATGGCCAAGCGGGGTGCAGCAGTGACAGTTGCCGAGGCAAAAGCTCGGGCGTGGGAGGACTTTGGTGAGGCAAAGAAGAAAGACTATCGATCGGCGCCAAAGAGGGAGGCAGCAACTCGCTCACACTGTTTACAGTGGGGATGGGGAGCTGCTGACGTCAACTGGGGCTATAGTCGAGCGGTGGAAGGAATACTTTGAGAAGCTCCTCAATCCCCCCTACGCACATTCCGAGGAGGAGCCAGAGCCGGGAGATCTGGGGATGGACTGTCCAATCTCTGGGGCAGAAGTTGCTGAGGTAGTCAAACAACTACACAGCGGCGGAGCCCCGGGGGTGGATGAGATTCATCCTGGGTATCTCAAGGCTATGGATGTGGTAGGGCTGTCGTGGTTGACACATCTCTGCAACATTGCGTGGTTATCGGAGGCAGTTCCTGTGGAGTGGCAGACTGGGGTGGTGGTCCCCATCTTTAAGAAGGGTGACGTGGGGGTGTGTTCCAACTATAGGGGGATCACACTCCTCAGCCTCCCTGGAAAGGTCTACTCAAAGGTACTGGAGAGTAGGGTCCGATCGATAGTTGAATCTCAGATTGAGGAGGAGCAATGTGGTTTTTGTCCTGGCCGTGGAACTGTGGACCAGCTCTGTACCCTTGCAAGGGTGATGGAGGGGGCATGGGAGTTTGCCCAACAAATCCACATGTGTTTTGTGGATTTGGAGAAGGCTTATGACCGTGTCCCCAGGGGCAAACTGTGGGGGACGCTCCAGGAGTATGGGGTGGGTGGCCTTTTGTCAAGGGTCATTCAGTCCCTTTACCAGAGGAGCGGGAGTTTGGTCCGCATAGCTGGTAGTAAGTCGGACCCATTCCCAGCGAAGGTCGGACTCCGCCAGGGCTGCCCTTTGTCACTGGTTCTGTTCATAACCTTTATGGACAGAATTTCTAGGCGCAGCCGTGGTGTGGAGTGTGTCGAGTTTGGTGGCAGGAGAATCTCGTCTCTGCTTTTTGCGGATGATGTGGTCCTCCTAGCTTCATCCAGCTCTGACCTTCAGCTCTTACTGGGCAGGTTCGCAGCTGAGTGTGAAGCGGCTGGGATGAGGATCAGCACCTCCAAATCTGAGACCATGGTTCTCGACCGGGAAAGGGTGGCTTACCAACTCCGGGTCGGGAGGGAGGTCCTACCTCAAGTGGAGGAGTTTAAGTATCTTAGGGGTCTTGTTCACGAGTGAGGGTAGGAGGGACCGGGAGATCGACAGGCGGAGTGGTTCGGTGTCCGCAGTGATGCGGGTGCTGAGCCGATCTGTCGTGGTGAAGAGGGAGCTGAGCCTGAA